AGACACACATACACACACAGAGCGTATATAGTCATTGGGTAGGTTTGCGCTAAAATAAACTTGTCATTGTGTCAGGAAAAAAGCATAACAGTAAGAAGCAGTATGCTACTGAGCGATATAAAAACAAGTCAGTTTTTGACAATCACATTTAAAAAATAAAGCTATTACTTGAAATTAATAATTAATTTTCAACTGAGAATCTGTGGTGTTGAATGAAACTCTTATGAAAGTAAGAAGGAAGCTTTGGAGATCTTTTAGACTAATTATAGCTTAATATCGGTAAAAATCATGATTCCTCCACTGTTTGTTTGTTATAAAGCACAAAGCTACACAAAGGGCTATCTGTGCTCTGCCCACCACGGGTATCGAAACCCGGTTTCTAGCAGTACAAGCCCACAGATATACCACTGTGCCACTGGGGGGCAACTTCATATGTTTGTTTGTAATTAAGCACAAAGCTACACAATGGGCTATCTGTGCTCTGCCCACCACGGTATCGAAACCCGGATTCTAGCGTTGTAAGTCCACAGACATACCGCTGTGCCACTGGGGGCAACTTCATATGAATATATTCCGTTAAAATAGAATTGACTACCTCCACATTATAAGGTCAGTAGTTGCGGGCAAACATTGGCTATTTCCCGTCAGACGGGTCCAAAAAAAGAAAAGAAAGAAAAATACATGTGTATTCATAATAAAAAAAAAAGGGTTTAGATGGAATTTGTAAAGTAATTTCCTTCTGGATATTGGTTTCTTTCACGAGAAAGTGCAGCGAATTTTACAAAAGTGTTAGCAATTAGCGTCTTTCTTCCACAACTTTTGTGATATTGGTGCAGCGGATTTTACAAAGTGTTAGTAATTAGCGTCTTTATTGGTTTCTTTCATGAGAAAGTGCAGCGGATTTTACAAAGTATTAGTAATTAGCGTCTTTATTGGTTTCTTTCATGAGAAAGTGCAGCGGATTTTACAAAGTGTTAGTAATTAGCGTCTTTATTGGTTTCTTTCATGAGAAAGTGCAGCGGATTTTACAAAAGTGTTAGTAATTAGCGTGTTTCTTCCGCAACTTTTGTGATATTGGTGCAGCGGATTTTACAAAGTGTTAGTAATTAGCGTCTTTATTGGTTTCTTTCATGAGAAAGTGCAGCGGATTTTACAAAAGTGTTAGCAATTAGCGTCTTTATTGGTTTCTTTCATAAGAAAGTGCAGCGAATTTTACAAAGTGTTAGTAATTAGCGTCTTTATTGGTTTCTTTCATGAGAAAGTGCAGCGGATTTTACAAAAGTGTTAG